TCTTTTCTATTTTAAATAATAAAATATGCTGACTTATACAAGTCAGCATATTTTCAATTACTGGCTATACATCTGAGAGCTGGACAATGAATACAAAGTTGACAGAAGAAGTACTGATGCCTTTGAACTGTGGTGTTGGAGAAGAGTATTGAATATCCCATGGACTGCCAAAAGAACAAACAGAACTTAAGAGAAAGTATAGCCAGGGTCCTCCTTAGAGGCAAAGATGGTGAAACTTTGTCTGTTATACTTTTAGCATATTGTTAAGAAGGGCCAGTACTTGGAAAAGAACATCATATTGGGAAAGGTGGCGGAGCAGAGAGAGGAAGACCCTATAACAAGGTGGACTGGCAGAGTGACAATAACAATGTACGTGAGCATATCTGAGATTGTGAGGATGGTGCAGGGCAGAGACAGGTTCAGATATGTTGTTCACAGTGTTGCCACGAGTCTTAGGCAACTTAAAGGCACCTGCCACCTCCACCAGCACCACTATAGACCCGATACCTGTCTCACACTGTTGTGGTTTATGTGCTGATGAAAGTTTGAAGTGTTCAGGACGTTCGTTCATAGTGTCGCTATGAGTTGTTGACAACTTGATGGCACTTAACAACAACAACAACATCCTGCTGGATGTTAACCACTAGTATTTCAAATGACAACAAGGTTACCCATGGGAAGCAGGTTTCAGCAGAGATTCCAAACTAAGAAAAATTAGGGGGAAAAAGGCCTGGTGATAGACTTCCTAAAATCTGCCAGTGAAAATCCTTTGGATCACAGCAGAACAGTGCCCCATATAGTGCTGGAAAATGAGGGCCCGTGGAAGGATCCTTGGAAGGATCCTTGCAGACCTGAGCACTGCAACAATTATAAAGAAGGCGCAGGACCAGGTACAGTTTTCTTGTATTGTACATGAGGTTTCTGTGAGCTGGAATCCTACCTACCTGTCAAACCCTCTTACATGCAGTAGGGACATGGAGACAAAAATTAGTCCCCAGCCCCATGGAGCCTGTAAGCATCAGAAACATGTGGACATGAGGATGTAGTGATGCCCTATCATGGGGTTAGCTGGTAGGTCTTGCAGGAACCCAAAATAGATTGATAACTTGGCCCCGGTGGTCTGGTGATGCTGGGACAGAACAGGAGGACAAAGGAGCCAGGTTCTTGGGGAGAGCAGTGGGGAAGAACAGTACAGGGAGTAAGAATAGAACAAAGGCTAAGAGACAGGACTGAGCCTGACACTGACAGACTCCCAGACGTCCATGCAAGCAGGGAGGAGGGTGGAGTGAAAGGAGGCTGGAGAGCTGGGCAAGGGCCAGGCAGAGGGTCCTGAGAGCCTGGCTCTGAGCACAGATTGTAGCAGCCCATGGCCAAGAATTCCCAAGGGAAGTCCAGTGGATGCCAGGCAGGAACCTACTGCAGAAGGTGGTGAAAACTCCCTGCCAACATGTCAGTTTCAACTCATGGTGACCTATGTGGTCTCTGTAGTGTTTCATTCTAAATGGGTGCAGATGCCACATCTTCCTCCTGAGTAAAAGCTGGTGCTTTAAACTGTCAACCTTTTGGTTGTAGCCCAACACATAATACACCAGGGCTCCTTGTGGGAGGTGGTCTGAGGCCAGCAAATAGGAGGAGATGAGCAGGGGGTCAGCTGCCACAGAGCTCCAGCTGACCAGTGTCAGGGGCTTGGGCCAGGGGAGTGAGATTTCCTGGGTTTTCAAAGAAGACAGTATTTTGGAATTTCATATGAACATTCCCGATTGTCAAATGTCAGGTCAACATTCTGCAAGATA